ATGGCTACTGGGGACCTGCCTCTGTGTGATGAGGTGGTGAGCAAATATAAGAGCTGCACTAGACTATTCGAGGACTCTTCCATCCCTGACACTCTATGCTATTCTTTGAGAATTATAAAGACTATCTGGAACAGTAATAATCTAGTTAGTTAAAAAAAAAATGTTGGTTTTTAGTTTACCTAGCCCAGGAGAATAGGCTCAGATGTATTTGAAAGACTTTGCAAAAGGATAGATGAAGCTTTTAACTCTGAAACTTCATATTTTTTTAGGAGTTAGAGTTTGTTCTTTGGAGTCCGTTTCAAATTCCTTTTTTGTCATTTACTGATTGTGTGACTTTGGACTTGTTACTTTATCTGAGCTTTGACTTTCTTATTTTGAACCATTCTTTGATTATTCTGGCCAATAATCACTTTTATATATTTTATATTTTTTGCATCATTAAACTTTAAGGATGCTCAGGAAAGTTACTACCACCAACAACAAAAATCTCATTTAAATAGGGTATGTGACCCCTAAGAAGACACATGTCCTCTGACTTCTAGAGGCAAGAAGGCAAAATCAGGATGTTCAGAATAAGCTGTATTTGGTTGAGCCAGGTCCTGAATCCTGAGAACTTGCTTGGAGCTGCTTTGGGGCCTCGGACTCGTGAAGCAGAACTGGAAAAGCAGGATTTGCTCCCCTTGGGTTATTCTGGAGCCATGTTGGGTGTGTCCTTAGAAATACAAGCCAGATAGAGGGAAACAATTACCAGCTATAGAGGGTTTAAGATTTAAGAAAAATACAGAGTTTCTAATCTTTAACATTTGCATGCCTCCACACTTTAAAATGGGAGATGATTTATAATGAAACCAACTATAATACATATTTGAGGAAATAAGCAACAACAACAAAAATGAAAATACAAGATATATGTGGTAAGGATGAGCAACAAGGATGAAGGGAGAATGCTCACAGGTTAAACTCAGAGATGAAATGAGTCATCAGTTTCACTTTGAGTTTCTGGATAGACATGAAAAGAAAATGAAAGAAATAGACAATGCGACAAAAATCTTAGAAAAGAAGCAGTTTTTAGGGAGGACAATTTTTTTTTCCTCTAAATTTTGCAGGAAGCTTTTCCCATAAGACGTCATGGAGTGGATATTAAGTAAAGTCATGCCCAGCTGCGGTTTTGCTCATCAGCTGCATGAGCATTAAATGTATTTAGTGCCCCCCTCCCCCTGCCCCCACACACACCCAGTGTATTTATTCCCAGGTCCCTCCCTTGGAAGTTCTGACTCAGCAAGTCTAAACATGAGATCTACTGGGTCCATAGTATATTTTTTCTTAATTGAAACATGTAATTAGAAATTAAGATTCAGAAAGTACTTTCCTAATTTTTATTTCTTTTGATAATAGCCTAGTGAGGTTCATCAGATTTTTTTTTTTAATAAGAAAGGTAATTTATACCTTAAGGTGTCTAGTGACTTAAGACACTAGGGGACTTGAATACTTATGATTCATTTCAAGTGATGCTGGACAACAGGAAATATGATTTTAAGTCTATTAAGATAAAGAAGTTTTACCAATGTGATTGAGGAGAGGTTGGGAGGGTCTCAGATTAGTTAAGTGTCCAGTCTATTGGATGATTTGCTTTTGAGACCTTGCCCCACTTTGTTCATCATCTGAGAATGTGAGCAGAGGTTCACCTTCTTGGTAAAGATCTTTTAATGCCCACTCCTTTTTCCAGGTGTTTCTCCTTATCTCCTTCCTCCAAGGCATGTCCAAGGCACTTTTATACATAACTGTATCGTTTCCCTCCACAGTCCTGGGGTACACTGTCCCAACTGATAGCCCAGACTATCGACTTCTCAATGGCTGGACATCATTATTTATCTTGATAGTACTGGCAGAATAGTAGGTACCGATGAAATAAGCACTAAAAGAATAAAATATGTAAGAAAGGGGCATATGTTGTAGAAGGAAGATGGGATATCTATGTATCTATTTATCTATCTTAATTTAGGGAATATGTAGAACTTTGGCCACATTTTGTATACTGGGGCATTGCTGTGAGTCACTTAATTCTCAAGTGGTGACTTGATTTTGATTAGATGTGGCAATTATCATACATGTGCAACTTTTAAAGCTACTTATTAAATGCACAGTCACTATTGTTTAAAGAGACACTCCTGACCAAACCATTCAAAATGTAATCTTTGCCTTAGAGGCTTCCTTCTTTCTAGCCCAATTTTTTAATATCCCTAATTGAGCCATTCCTCCCAGCCCATTAGAGCATCTATAATTGCTTCATGAATCTACTCAAAGTTTTTTTTATACACAGTTAAAAAAAAATCTGGCATTAAGATCTGGAACAATTAAGTTCCCAAGATTTTTAACATTTTCATAAGGAGTAAAGTGAAACTCAAGGAGGCCAATAGACAACCAGTAAGTAGCCAAGTTAGAATTTGAACTTATTTTTTCTCTGTGTCTTCTGCTCTTTCTAACCCTTCATATTGCCTTGTCTGTTGGACTGGCTTATACACTGAACTGCTAGGGTAGCACTCTAAAGATTAAGGGTGTGGGTACCAATGGGTAGAGGTGTATCCCAGCAGCCTGAATGAAATCAGCTAAGGGGTCAGGACACCTGCAACAAGAGGTAGGCTATTCCCTGAGATGATGGAAACAGAAACATGCAAACATAAGTGAATGTTTTTAGAAACTTAGCTGGCTTTGGCATGAGAATCAGAAGTGTCTGGGTTGGGCTTGTTTTGATTCTAATGCCCAGGACTGACTTCTGTCCTTAGAAGCTCATGGAAAAGAGTGGGCTAAGTCCCTGAGTAATCTGATAGTAGGTTGCTGAGCTTACATTACTAAGACCTAGGTTAGGAAATGAAGACAGTAGGGAAAAGGAGGATTCCTAGACAAGATATGAAATAGAAGTTGAGAAAGGCCATGCTTCCTGGAGATGCATGTAAGGTAACTCAGTTAACCAAAGGTGTAGTGTTTTATTTCTATGGGAAACTTGAAGGCCTGTGTAAGATCACATAGTGTTTTCAAGTGCCTCCTCCTACAATGGTCTCTGCTCTCCACTAGCACAACTGCTTAGTAACAGAAGGCACACCCCCGAATGAGGCTGCCTATGTTCACATCTTTCCCTCTTCCCTTACTAACATGGCCATGTTAGTGACTTGGTCACATTCTTACAAAATTAAAGAAGAGGAAGAATACCATGTCATAGTGGTGTTTGAATTAAATTAGGTACTACTGGGGCGCCTGGGTGGCGCAGTCGGTTGAGCGTCCGACTTCAGCCAGGTCACGATCTCGCGGTCCGTGAGTTCGAGCCCCGCGTCAGGCTCTGGGCTGATGGCTCAGAGCCTGGAGCCTGTTTCCGATTCTGTGTCTCCCTCTCTCTCTGCCCCTCCCCCGTTCATGCTCTGTCTCTCTCTGTCCCAAAAATAAATAAAAAACGTTGAAAAAAAATTAAAAAAATAAATAAATAAAAAAAAATAAATTAGGTACTACATACATGACACTCTGCTTAATGCCTAATACAGAGTAAGTACTCAGTTCATGCTAGCTGCTGATATAATATTTACCTTCCCAGCTATATCATTTCTGTTTTGATATTTCTGTCTTTTCAGGAAAGAATAGAATAAGGAGAGAGCAGGTGTTTCTGAGTGCTCAGACTATACTGCTTGTAGTTCCCCCTTATTTGTGGTTTTGCTTTCTGTGGTTCCAGTTACCCACAGTCAACAGAGGTCTGGAAGCAGATCCTCTTCTGATATAATGTCAGATCATCAACAGAAACCTAACACTGTATCACAGTGCCTGTGTCATTCACCTCACTTCATCTCATCTTGTAGCCATTTCATCATCTCACATCATCAAAAGATGAGGAAGGGGGAGTACAGTACAATAAGATTTTCTGAGAGAGAGAGAGAAACCACATTTACATAACTTTTCTTGAGGCATATTATAATTCTTCTATTTTATTATTAGTTACTGTTGTTAATCTCTTACTGCGCCTAATATGTAAATTAAACTTTATTATAAGTAAGCATGTAGAGGAGAAAACATATATCTGGGATTCGTACTATCTACGGTGTCAGGTGTCCCCTGGCATCTTGGAATGTATCCCTCACAGATAAGGGGGGACTACTCTAAATACAACTATATGGGACTAGAGAGCTTGTTAGTCTTTTCTCCTGGAATGAGGTTCAGCAGAGCTCACTCTTCTCATGAGTAACTAATTGCACGATTACATGGGCCCTTCTATTTTAGTGCACACACTCCCCTCACGTCATAGGTGCTATGTGCGCAAGGCAAGTTACTGATAGCATTGTAGCAGGACCAGGTCTCCTAACTCCCAGTGCTTTCTTGTTTCTTCCCATAGTTGGGCCTCCTCTCTTAAGATAATCTTATTAGGTCAGTGACTTTATGGTGATAAAAAATACTTCTATTTAAAATTAATTTTAAGAAACTATTGCAGGGGCGCCTGTCCACCTAATGGACAGTACAGGTCTAGAAGTCCAACACATGTAGCTCTAGTCCTTTGAGAGCTCTTGGGATTCAATGAGAAACCTCAGTATCCTGATAATAATGTGCGTGTTTGTGATTAAGATTGTCTGAATGGAGGGGACAGTCCAACCAATAATGATGTTGGTTAAGCGTCCAACTCTTGATTTCGGCTCAGGTCATGATCTCACGATTCATGGGATGGAGCCCCACATTGGGCTCTGTGCTGTCAGCTTAGGATTCCCTCTCTCCCTCTCTCTCTGCCCCTTCCCTGCATATGCTCTTGCTCTCTGTTATCTCTCTCTCATAATAAATAAATAAACATTTTTAAAAAATTGAAAAAAGAAACGAAAGCGAAAACAAACCAAAAAAACCCCGCTTTTTCTGCTTATAAGTAGGCATGGGGATGCCCAAATCAATTGAATAAAATAAGACAGATCCTTTTTCTTTGTTAAATATTCTATTATTTTAGTTGTAAATTGTAAGTTAAGAATCACCTGGGGAAGTCACTTTGCTGAATGTTCTCCTTGTTTATCATCGAATTCCATAAATCCTCTTGAAAAATAAAAGAAAGAGAAAAAAGTGGATTATGATTGAGATTAAGCAAGAATATTAGAATGATCACTAGAATGTCTTATGTTTGAGCCACTATTTTTTTCTGCAGATTTTCCAATGTCATAAATAAAATAAGATTTAAGACTTCCATAACATTTGTAGTTTGCAAGCTATTTATGCACGATTATCTCTTTCAATTTGCCAACAAATCTATTCATGGGTGTCTATTCACATATAAATTGTATAAGACAGATATTTTGGTGTATTTGTTTAGTAATATATCCCTAGTAACTAGAACAGTGCCTGGCATATAGTATAAATGAATAAATGTTGGAATTAAATATTAAATAAATGGATAAATTAATTTTTATCTCATATGGTATATGAAAAAACTTCTAAAGCTCAAAGAGATTTAACAACCTGTCCCAGACACATGGCTGATAAATGGCAAAGCAAAGTCTAAAACTGGGATCTCCAGGATCTGAGGTTAGTATTAGAACCATTAGGGGCGCCTGGGTGGCGCAGTCGGTTAAGCGTCCGACTTCAGCCAGGTCACGATCTCGCGGTCCGTGAGTTCGAGCCCCGCGTCAGGCTCTGGGCTGATGGCTCAGAGCCTGGAGCCTGCTTCCGATTCTGTGTCTCCCTCTCTCTCTGCCCCTCCCCCGTTCATGCTCTGTCTCTCTCTGTCCCAAAAATAAAATAAACGTTGAAAAAAAATTTTTTTAAAGAACCATTGTACTGAAAAGATAAAGATGATTAAAATGTGGCCTGTGAGGAGTTTACAGTCTAGTGGAAAAAATAGACACAATCAGATACAAGTAATTTAAAACAACTAGAGGGAAAGAAAATCGATGTGAAAGTTCCTACAAAGCATAATGAAATCCAAAGTATGAATACCTGCATGTTGTAATCGTAGGGGTCTGTGATGTCTTCATAGAGCTTGTCTTTGAATTGGACTTTAGAAAATGATTAGACTTTCTAGGTAAACAGAATGGAGTTGGAGTTGGGGACCAGACCTTGTTGGCAGACAGAAGAGCCATGTGCAAACATGTTAGGGGTTTATACATACATGACCGGTTCTGAAACAAATCATTTGTCATTGGGGGCATCGGGTGTTTGACTTCAGGAGTGAGATATGCAATTGATTGGCTTCAGGGAAGAACATTTAACACCAGTTGAATGCATTTGTTCTGATTTTGTAGGCTGTGGAAATTCAAGAAAAAAGGTTTCAAGAATGACGGTGATGGAACCTAATTTGTGTTTTTACTGTATAACTCTGGTAATAAGCAGAGGATGGTTTGGAGTGAGGACAGACAGAAACGGTGGAACTCACCATAAATCTAATAAAAAGAACTCAGTAAAGAGGTGATGAAGGACTCCACCAGGCCAACTAGTCAGTGGAGTTGAAGAAAAGGAATGATACAGGAGAAAAATTTAGAAGTAGAATATTCAGCAATGTGATGAAGGTGGTGACAAGCAAGAAAGATCCACAAGGACCCTGAGGTTTCTGGATTCCAGGTGGGTGGGGATGTGACATGTGAGGAGATAAGGAACATGTGAAGAGGAGCAAGTTTGTGGGGTGATGGGTTTGGGGAGCAGTTGTAGCAAGCAATTAATCATTTCAGCTGTAGCTCAGAAAAAAGAAGGCAATAGACATCTGATTTTGGAAGTCATTGGATTCCAATACTACCCATGTGAAAACCCATGCAGGTTACATTTGGAGCTTTGAAGAGAAATATTTAAGGGGAAGATACATAAAGAAAAGCCCTATAAAAAGAATGAGAAAGAGTGGCTAGAGGTAGGGAGAGAAACAGGAAAATGCCATGTCATGGAAACCCAGCAGGTGAGGGGAAATTCACAACAATTGGAGCCTTTGGGGGGGGGGGGGTCAGAAGAATTAAGAATATGTATATTTTTCAGAACAATGGTGACCAGAATCCAGTTCACATGGCTCTAAAGTAATCCAGAGTGGAGAAGGTGAGCTATTGTATTCACTGTCCTGAAAGCACATATCTAGTATTTTTACGTGCCTGACACACTACTTAGGCATCAAGATATGGAGTAAATAAAGACAATTCTCATTTTTATCAAGTACCTCATTCCTGTCATTCTGTCTTTCTACTCAAATCTCACTGAGTCTTTTAAGACCCAGATTGCATCTCATCTTTGCTATAAACATACCCCTAAGCATCCTGGTATCAACCACAGCTCCTTTCTGTAGAAATTGCCTGTGATGTTTTGCTGACATTTATCTTATTTAGCATATTAGTCATTACTGCTTTTGCTGGGTCATCATACCATAAGGACTGCAAATCTTTGAGAAGGGATTTACATTTGAGTTTTTTCCTTCAAATTTCTGCCCCTACTTTGTGTATACTAAGTGCTTAGAAATACTTCTTGATGATCTCCTCCCACTCCCCATCCCCAACCTATCTATGGTCTTCCCTTGGACAAAGGACAGCTAGATTTTTCCCCTGAGCAAGGACTGCTATGTCTTTCAACAAAGATCCCCCAGGATTTCTCAGTCAAATTGCAGTAATAGGTTTTATATCTGATCTTGAAGATACCTTTCCTTAATTAATCAATTCAACAATTATTCACTAAGTGCCTCACTTAACCTATAAGGTACTGTGTTAGAGCCAGAAGCTAGTTAGATCTGGTCCCTATTTTCATATAGCCACATGATTGAAAATAAAGGTGGTGATATATGTTATAATTGCACTATAATTGCACAAGATAAAGTAATAGAAAACTAGGGAATGAAAGAAGATAGTGTTAATAAGAGTGATTATAGCATTGTTTTCTGAGGAGGTGACTTCTTAAGTTTATAAATTTTGAGAGAGAGAGAACACCAGCAGGGCAGGGGCAGAGAGAGAGGGAAAGAATCCCAAGCAGTCTCCATGCTGCCAGCACGGAGCCCGAGATCACGACCTGAGCCAAAATCAAGAGTTGGACACTCAACCAACAGAGCCACCCAGGCGCCCCTCTGAGGAGGTGACTTTTAGATGAGCTGCAGGACAAGCACTAGCTACAAGAGAAGGGAAGAGCCTTTTAGGCAGAAACGAAAGCAAGATCAGAGAGCCTGAGATGGTTTTAAGTTCCAGAAACAGGAAAAACATCATTTGCATAGAAAACAATGAGGAACAGAGAAGATGGTTGAAGTGGAGTTGCTGTTCCTGAACCCTGAGCTGACAGCAAGCAGTTCTCCAGTATTTCCAACAGTGAGCTTCCAGGGTTAACAGAGAAGAATAAAAGCAGTATTTTTTCATGTCTGGGGAATTCCCCAGGGAAGGAATAAAAAGAAATATTGTTTCAACTCCTTGCTTGCTGTTGTTTTGATTTACAACAATAGGAATTCAGCTGGAGTGTAATATGTACTTTGTACATAGTGGGCGTTGCTCCTGCTTGCTTGTCAGTTTCTTCTTGTTTACATTAACAGTCATTGTAACTCAGCAGTTGCAAAAGCAACCACAATAGAAAAATAACAATGCAAAAATAAATATCTGTGAGTTTCAATAATTTGTGCATAAGGATGGTATGCAGAATCCTGCCCATCCACATGATAATATATTGGTCTAAGCAGATCACAGATTACAACATGGCCCCTGATGATTTCTAAAGAGAAGTGATTCTTAATCTGTTTTTGGTCATAGACCCCTTTGAGAATCTAATAAAAGTCAGAAGCATTTTCCTTAGAAAAATGCAAAGATGCACACTTACACAAAATGTGAATAAAAATTTAAAGGGTATGCGGACCATCAAGGCCCAGCATTGTAGTCCAGAGCATTTCAAAATTGATGGGATATCAGAATTACCAGAAAGCTTGTTCTCAAGTGTACCCTTAGCTTTGTCCTAGGAAGACACAAGATGGGATGAAGGAAAACGCATTTTGTATAAATTCTCCAGGAGAGTATAGACCACACATTGTCAAACTCTGCTTAGGGATCTAGGAAGGAGAGAATTAGAGGCAGAGACTCCATGAGGTGGAGATTGAAAGCATCTGGCAATTCAGAACAAACTGGATCCCAGAGAGCTGAAAGTGGGGAGATTACTGTGGGGCAAATAAGAACAGGGTGAAGTAGATGTGAAAATCAGAGCCTGTGTAGACTGGAGTAAGATGTGTTAGGAGTTGTGTTCAGGGGCTCGGAAGCAGGTGGAGAACATTGGGAAGATTATGGGCTGTATGCGCTGCCACCATGGCAATCCCTCATGATCAACACTCGTATGAGAGGTTCTCCAGATTGTCTCTGAGGAGAGATCAGCTAGTCTCTCTAACCCTCTTGAGTTTCTCAAACTAGAAAATAAAAGCGGGACTCACCACATGTATCACTAATGAACACATCACTACCCACCACCTTCACCAAAGAATTACAGTGCCTGCCCTGGGTGGGTCCTTTATTCCTTTAACTTTACAGATGAGGAAACTGAGGCACTCAGCGAGGGAGGGCCTTGCTCAAGGTCACCCAGCCAAGTAGCACATGTGTCAAGACCAGAACCTGGCTTTCTGTTCCCTGGTCCAGTGCACTTCCTCCTTTCTACTTGGTCTCGAGATTAAAAATATTTTACGGAAGCACTTGTTGGAAATGCGTACACTCCAAAAGAGTTCAGGGAAATTCATTCAGATGCAAATATATCTCAAGATAGGGCAATACTTTTCAACTCAAATAATACATTGTCATGCACCACAGTTTTGTTTCTCATTCATTTTAATGCAACGTGGTCATTACCAACAGCAAACTGGACAAAAGCAAGGTTTGTCACAGTGCTTACGTGCTCCTCGTCATGGAGCGGAGGATGAACTCCACTGCATTCTCAATGATCTCTGTGCCCAAGAGGTTTAGGAATTTTGGAAAATCTGGCTCTGTTTTTTTGTCTGAGTCATCTGGCTTGTCATCTGGTTTGTCATCTGAAAAACAAAACAGAATCTCAGAAGTGATTCTCTGCAACAAGAAAGGGAAGCCTCTTTTCTTTGAAGGGAACCCTTAGACCACTTTTTACCCCCTTTCATTAATTATACAGCCTCGTACAGTTATATTTGTTGAACATTTAATGCCTGCCTGGCCGAAGTCATCACATGCATCATCTCAGTTGTTCCTAAAAACAACAGGTGTCGATACTTAGGTAGACGTTGATTTCCTTTCTGGTTGAGAAAATTGAAGCTCATGGAGGTTAAGTAACTTGTCCACAGTTAAGCAGCCAGTTCCAGCATTGAAATACAGAATGCCCATTTTAATGTACTTTTCTCCATGCAATCCCGGCAAGCGGTAATGAGAATAATGATGGCATAATAACGGGTAGCATTTATTGAGCATATACCTATGTCAGACAAGCTAATATGTTGTGACATCATTTTATTCTCACAGCAGCCCTGTGAGGTAGGCAAAACTCTTATCTCAAGTTTAAGTTCAAGAAGTGGAAGTTGAGAGGTTTACGAGCTGGTTCAAAGTCACAGAGTTAGCAGCCAAAACAGAATTCAGTCCCATGTCTGACTAGTACTAAAATCTGGATTTGTAAGCACTCTGTGCAGAACTGCATAATGCCCCCCCCACCTTATTAACGATAGAAATATCTTTGTTTCTTTATATTGTCTAATTTTTCTACCACAGAGATTACTTATAAAAAATTTTTTTTTCAACATTTATTTATTTTTGGGACAGAGAGAGACAGAGCATGAACGGGGGAGGGGCAGAGAGAGAGGGAGACACAGAATCGGAAGCAGGCTCCAGGCTCTGAGCCATCAGCCCAGAGCCTGACGCGGGGCTCGAACTCACGGACTGCGAGATCGTGACCTGGCTGAAGTCGGACGCTTAACCGACTGCACCACCCAGGCGCCCCAAGAGATTACTTATAAAATACAAGTTATCAACAACAAAAATGAGCTGAATAGCCTTTGACAGCAAAGCTACGATCTAACCACAAGTGTAAGATTGAAAGTAGAATAATAAAGATGATGACAAGGAGAAATTCTATCATTTGTACATCATTTTATAGTTCTGTAAATAATGACTTTCTAAATGCTGTGTGATTTTACCCTTGACCAGTCTTACGAGGGATGCAGTTCTTAGTTCACTGGACTAAGAAACTGAAAGGATTAAGTGACTTGCAGGAGACCTCGCAAATAGCAAGAGAAGATGGAACTATAAATTCAGGTTTCTTACCCTTCACTTTTAATCAAGTGCCTTTTGCAAGGAGGACCAAGGGTCCAGGGAGTGAGGTTGGTGACATGCAAGTTCCCTTGGGGCGTTTTGGCTTTGCTTAGTGGTCTCACTGGTTCAGGAGATTCAAAGTAATGGAAGAGTGGCAGTTAGTAGCTTCAAGTGGACTCCCCTCTGGACGCTGGTGCCAGGATAAAGTGGGATTTTTGTTTTTTAGTTTTAGTGTAGCCTCACACATAGTGTTGCCAGATTCAGTAAATAAAAATACAGGATACCCAATTAAATGTCAGATACACAACAATTTTTTTAAATTTTGGTATAAGAATGACCATGCAATATTTAGGTCATATTTAAACTAAAATTGTGGGGTATCTGGGTGGCTCAGTGGGTTAAGCGTTCGACTTCAGGTCATGATCTCCGCGGTTTGTGAGTTTGAGTCTGAGTCCCTCACTGGGCTCTGTGCTGACAGCTTGGAGCCTGAAGCCTGCTTCACATTCCGTGTCTCTGTCTCTCTGCCCCTCCCCTGCTCTCTCTCTCTCTCTCTCTCTCTCTCTCTCTCAAAAATAAATAAACATTAGAAGATTATTCATTGTTTATCTGAAATTCAGATTAGACTGGGTGTCCTGTATTTCACATGGTAACCCCACCACAAGTTTTGATTCAAAGAGTTCCAACATCTAGGCACTGTTCCCCAACTCTGAATGAAGGAGACATAACTAGCTTTTAGTGTGGAGGCTGTCAAAAATTATGTTAGAAGGCTTGCATCTGTATTGTATCCTAAAATAGAAACTCTTAGTCAAAACATGTGGCTTTCAATTTTGCAAACATTTGTTGTTTACTATGCCACAAGAAAAGATTTGATAGGAGCACCAGACTGGGACCTATAACCAAAATCAGTATACCAATTACTTATTCATTCAGCTGTTAATGTTTTCATTAAGTATTTTTTTTCAGCTTACTATTAGGTACATAGCATATGCTAAGAGTTGAGATATGAATGAACATACTAGACATGATCCTTACATAAAGTGCAGGGCCACCTCAGTGACCAGAATTGCTCTCTGTTCTCATCACTGGAAGAAGGAAAGATAATGCCAACTGAGCAGGTACTGGGATTGTGTTTTCATGATGTGCCTTAATCTTTATTTAGTTCAGTGAAGGTATTAACAGTTTTATAGAAGAGAAAACAGGTGCTCAGAGAAGTTAAATGACTCACCTAAAATCATACATCTAGAATGTGGTTGAGCCAGGGTTTGAACCTAAATTGTTTTAACTACACAGAGCACATTATCTACATGATATAATACTATCTTCAAGCAGTTTCCCCTGAAGACATTTACCAGGTACAAAACAGCAATTCCTTGCATGAAAAGTGAGTTCCTTTTTCCCGTGTTGCTATATGGTTACTTGCATAATAAGTTAATTTTATTGACTTTTTATTTTAATACGACACAAAATGCTAGCCTGTCAATATGCAAAGAGCCCTAGTTTGGAATATGTGTGAAGTTTGGATCATAGGCCCCAGTCCTTGAACCACATCTATATTAGGAGGTTTTAGAGTATGATGGACCATATGTTTTGGAGTCCTATATACTTGAGTTTGATTCTTGTCTTCAACAAAAAAAAATCCACCATGGAACCTTGCACACAATTCTTAAATACTTTGTCTCTCAATTTATTCATTGTGTTATTGTCAAGATTGAAAGATATTTTATATATCTTTCACATGTAAAATATCTATGAAATGTGTATATATATATGTGTATATATATATATACACATATATATATACACATACATACACTACTTATCACAGTACCAGGCCCAAGGTAAGTCCACAATAAATGCTTGCTGTATTATCATGAATATATATTATATATAATATAATGGGTGCATATATATAATAAATTATATATAATATATAATAATGGGTACATATATTATGAACTATAATGTTAATAATAATAGTAGCAACAAAATGATTAATATTAGCTTTTTCCTGTAGTGCTTTAGGAGATTATGAAAATTTAAAAAAGTGGTTAAAATATTAAGAAATTTGAAAATGTTGAAAAACAGAAAAACCAACAATAAAAATCAAATTTGAAATACTGTAAACAAACTATTAAAGCTAATAGCAGAATATTTTTTCTTTTCAAATATAATATGGACTGGCCTTTATTTACATTAACTACTTGGTTGAGTTTTTCAGTCAATGTAATTATAAAGTTCTGAAAAAAATACAGTGCTGCTGATATTTGTATAGTATTTATTGTTTACAAAGTGATTATAAAGGCATATTCATTTGACCAGGTGAAGTTGATTGTTGTCCCATTTTACAGATGAAGAAACTGAGGTTCAAAGCAGTGAACTGATTGAACCAGTTTTAGGGTTTATGAGAGACAGCTGGGGACTGGTCCTTAGGCTATAAATCTCACCTTTCACTTTGCTGTGTTGATTACTTAAGGAGTTGATGGACCCGGTAGTGTCTGAGGCCACCTCTTTGGTAATTCTGTTATAAATCTTTTTTTCTTAATTTTTGTTAATGTTTTATTTATTTTTGACAGAGAGAGGAGAGAGAGAGAGAGAGAGAGAGAGAGAGAGAGAGAGAGAGAGAGAACAAGTGGGGAAGGGGCAGAGAGAGAAGGAGACGCAGAATCTGAAGCTGGCTCCAGGCTCTGAGCTGTCAGCACAGAAGCCCAACGCGGGGCTTGAACTCATGAACCATGAGATCGATCGTGACCTGAGCCAAAGTTGGACGCTTAACCAGCTGACCCACCCAGGTGCCCCTGTGATAATGTCATTAGAGTGTGTGTCTGTATATTGTGCTGGTGGACTGTGGGTGGCTGAGGGTGTTGAGTTCTGCCAAGTTACATTTAGAAAAGCAAAAGGCTCTGTTACTAAATATTTGCACTGGCTTTGTTTTCTGACCTATCCTTCTGAATTGAGACCAGTCAAGAGCTCACCATATTCTGCAGGCCAAAAGTAATGAGAATTTTGCAAGCTGCCTTGTGGTCCCCTATATCCTTGGAACGGGCATAACAGAAGTAAGCATGGGGCATGTGGGTGGCTCAGTCCTGTTAAGCATCTGAGTCTTGACCTTGGCTCAGGTCATGATCTCACTGTTTGAGATCAAGCCCACGTCAGGCTCTGTGTTGACAGTGCTGAACCGGTTTGGGATTCTCTCTCTCCTTCTCTCTCTGCCCCTTCCCTGATGTTGCTCTCTCTCTCAAAATAAATAAATAAATATTAAAAAAATAAATCTTTAAATAAGAAGTAGGCACTTAATGATAACGGACAGAATGGAGGGACTGGGGATTTCAGACCCAGGCATGCCACGTCTACCTGTGTCTATACCCAAGTGACTTTCCTTCTGCAAGTTTTGTCTGTCAGCCTGCCAAAGGAGCGTGATAAAACTTGGCATTTTTACTTAAGAGGATTATTATGAGAATCAAATGAGATAATATGTGATAACAATAGCAGTTAATATTTATTGGGTGCTTATTAGGGACCGGATGTTTTTACAGTTTTTGTCTCTAATTTTCATGATAACTTTATGAGAAAGTTAACTATTGATATTCCCTTCAACGTGTGAGGTCCAGACAGGTTAACTAACATGCCTGAAGTTAGATTTCTGATTAATGGTAGAACCAGGCCTAGGAGTCTTACTCCAGAGTATACATTTTTTTCCCTCCAAACATTATTAGTTAGAATCATCAAAAAATAAATTCCCCTCCCGGCTGTCAAGAAATTTATAATATGATAGTGTCGCGGTATCACATGACTACATAAGAAAAAAGGTCATTCCAAACTTCATTCATTCACTGAGGGTAGAGGCTGTAATTGAAGCACATTTGAATAAAAATCCTTTCTTTTTGTTAGAAGATCTGCCTCTTGGGGGACTTTAACACTCCACTTACAGAAATGGATAGATCATCTAGACACACGGTCAATAAAGAAA